CCAAATGGTTTCTGATTAATAAAATGTAATCAAACAAACTGTTATTTTACTTTAGTTTTTAGTGGTACGTTTTCAATAACTTCCATAGATTTTTACAAAGTTAAAGACTCCCTTCAGTCAAAATCAGGTTTTTTTTTTTATCTTCCAACATGTCCATTTGGTGTTTTTCATGAGCTAGAAGACACATCAAGAGTGAAATGCAGTCTCAGAAACACAGATTCAGACTTGCAGGGTTTCATATATAACAAACCCAAGGAACCGTCTACTGTCAGCTTGCAGGAAAGACGGCTTTCCGTCTCATTTTTCTTCTTCAGAATCGATCTCTGGCTTGTGTTTGAGCAGAGTCATGGATAGACTGGTGTGCTTGAGTTACTGCGACAGAGGCAGGTACTTCATAGATCTGGACACTGTGGAGGAAGTAAAACACTTTAAGGCAGGAAATTACTTTTTTTGTGGGAAAAAAAAATGTAGCTTTGACACACGAAGACGAGTTTTTACAAGAGATGGACATTAATTTGAAAATATTTTTAAAAAAAATTCAAAGAAAGATGAGTTTTGGGTCTTTAAACCTTCACTCGGTTTGTCTGATGTTATTGTTTGTTTATTAACTGTCCCTCGGCTTTCTCTCATTTTGCAAAAATGGCTTCCAGACAAAGCAAGCTGAGTCTCTCTCAGTAAAACTTGATATTCAGCTGTCGGTTGAACAGTCAGAAAACATTACGACCTCCACAGCAGAGGACTTTTTGTCATTTCACTGTTTTGCCATACATATTTATAGATATATTTTTTAATCTAAACTTAAATCGATTTCTGAAAAGCTTCTCTATATTCTGACTTTGTCTTGTTTTGGCAGTGCCGCTCTTGTCTCCTGAAAACCTTCGTGTGTCAGAGGAGTGGTACAACCGCTTCAGGGTCACCTGGGATCCACCTCAGTCTCCTGTGCAGGGCTACAGGATCGTCTACCAGCCCGTCTATGGTACACAACCACACACACACGTACACACTACAGCTGATCTGTGTATTATAAGTGATAAGCCAGAATTGCCAAAAACTGCAGTTCCTGTCCACTTGAAGCTGGCTCTACAAGACCACACATCCATTATCTATACACCGCTTAATCCTCACTAGGGTCATGGGGGGCTGGAGTCTATTCCAGCTGACTCAGGGTGAAGGCAGGTTCACCTGGACAGGTAACCAGTCTATCACAGGGCTACACTTAGAGACAGACAACCAAGCACACTCACATTCACACCTACGGACAATTTACAATCACCAATTAACCTCAATATGTTTTTGGACCTTGTGGGAGGAAGCCGGAGAACCCGGAGAGAACCCACGATGCACAGGGAGAACATGGAGACTCCACGCAGAAAGATTCCGGTGCCCCCACCGGGACGCGAACCGGCGACTTTCTTGCTGCGAGGCAACAGTGCTACCAACTGCGCCACCTTGCAGCCCCTCCACAAGACCCCCATGCTAACATACTGAACTTTACAGTAATGCTAATTTGCCCTTTCATGACAGCTCTACTCGTTTGATTTTTTATTTTTTTTTATAACTCACCTTTTTAAATTGTATTGAGGCTTAAAATTATGCATAGCTGATGTCATAATTAACAGAATCTGTTAGTAAGTTAATAAACCCATGAAAACCATCTTTCTCTGTCTGAAAGCACGGACCCAGCATTTAAAAATGTAAAAACATCCACGTTTTAACTGGATCAGAACACAAACCGCAGCAGTGTGAGAACTGAAAGCTTACATGTTTATAGGTGGATAATAAGAGCCATGTGCTCTGGTCCAGAGAAGGACAGTTTTGTGGTTCAGGTGCAGCAACCTGTAAATAAGGTTACAACATGAAGCCACTGTGGTTCCTGCGGTTCCTCAAATGTCCACTTGAGGTTGACTTCAAAAGCAGCTGAACCCCCAAAGACCTCCATGTTAAAATACTAAACTTTACACAGACATAAACATGTTTATAGCCTTGTACAAAAAACGGTTTTGGTCTTTTTAACTACTTTCTCAGTTCATGACAGCTCTAATGGGGAGAATTTGTATATAACTCACATGTTCAAATTGTATTAAGGTTTGAAAATATGCAGAGTTAATGGCAAAATTCATCAGGAGGTGTTTGTATGACCTAAACTCAAGCTTCACTGCAATCTGATTTTTTTGGATTTTGGGAGTTGTGAGCAGTCAGGAGCTGTCAAGATCACGGGGAGTTTGTCCAAATTTGTCCACAGTCTATGGTATAATCAAGCAGTAATCTGAAAATATAAGCCTTTGGGGATGACCTTTAAAATTTAAAAGCCCTGCGTTGATCTTTTCCTCAGTCATTATCTTGTTTTTATGGTTTTTATTAGCTTGGAAACACAAGAACATAACATAAATCATACCTTCATGATTCAAATTCACACACACATGGATGATACCCATCATCTGATAACTGCTGGTTGTCAAGAGCAGGAGGATTTTCCTTTTCTTTTATACGTGCTTTGCCCTGAGACCTCGTTCAAACACACTAATCCGCTTGTCATGCGAGGACCCACCAGCGACAAACCTGTGACAGACACATAATAGCTGAAAAAAACAACTCTCGGGGTGCTTTGGCTTTCCTGATAGTGACTTCTTAGGTTTTAAACAGGAAGCTCGAGGCTCTAAGGAAAATGTCAGCAATCCAGCCCTGAAATAAGACATTAACCTTCCTCATTTATTCTTTGTCTTGAATCATCATCAAAAGCCCATTTTCACCGTTCTGCTGCTTCTCCAGTGCTAATTGATTCATCTTTCCAAGACAAGGCTCCAGCCTTTATAGTTTCCATGTCTGTTTTTAGTCATCTAAACACAATTACTGTGTCTCTGAGGAACCAGCTTCAAGCAGACAGGCTGCATTAATCTGATTTTAGGAATTAAGTTGAAGAGAAATAAATTTCACCAGGCTGCTGTTTTTACCGTGAGAATCTTAGTACGTGGAGGGAGGAAAAGTGCCTGCGTTTGCAAATGCCTGCACACACACACGTATACGCTTCCTGCACAGAAATACAGCTGCAATATACTTAATGTAAGCATAAACCCACTCAGTGTAGGTTAAACGTACACACAGACGAACACACAGCCTGTTAAACAGTATTCCAGGGTGTGTTGTGTTGTAAAGATAATTGCTGCTCTTACTTTATTCATCAGACTTTTTGTTTTATTTTTCTGCTTCAGTGTTAAATTTTTAATTTTGCCCTTTAATATTTCTGTGCAGGGTTGTTATTATTTTTGCAAAGCAGTTTGTAGCAGGAAGAGCTGCATTAATGAAGATTGTTATTATATCTGTATTTTATTTTAGTAGCCTTCATAAAGGGTGTGTGTGTGTGTGTGTGTGTAGTAGTAGTCGTAGTAGTTCTGGAAATCTTTGCAGCAAGATCCTGTTTGTGGCAGAGAGGGAAGCCTTGTCATTGCTCAGTGAGGCTTTGTGTGTGTGTTGTGTGTGTGAAGTGTGTGCATGCGTAGATTTTTCTGCAGGTTTGTGTGTGTATGAGTCGACTGGAAATGCCAATAACGCACCTGACAGGTTGCTTGACATGCAAAAAGTTTGCTCCAGAAACTTGGAGGGAATTTTCCTGTTGACGCTGTGGCCACTTGCTAACAAACAAACAAACAAACAAACAAACTTGTGTATTCAAACAGAACACACCAGTCATTAATAGACACTCTGTCGGTCTTTCCTTTTTCAAACACGGTAGATCTTGAGTCTCTGTCATTTGCATTTTCTAGGTAACATCTGGCTATACAGGAAGGGGTAGGCCGGGCTCATGTCAAGTTTCGAAATCGAGAATTTCATTAATTACACTCAATTTCAAGATCAGAAACGATCAATGTGAAGTCTGAGGATGTTGCCACGTGCTTAATTTTGTTCCGTTTCAGCTGCATTCCCTTTATGCCGTTCACCCTTTTAACCTGCAGCTGGTTAAATGTTATTCAGGTCCTCGATTTAAACCATCTCTCATTACTGTTTCCTCATCTGGACTCCCAGATGCTCTCAAGTAAGAGTCATATTCAAACTTCCCACTTAGGAGCAACGTGTGTTTTGTTGGTTGTCAGCAGTTACAAAAATACAAAAATAACCCTAACTTTGGGCTGTTTAGCTAGAGGCCTAGTTGTTCCCGTCGTTGCCTACAAAGACAAAGTGGGCTCGCCCCATTCTATGTTGTGAAACTTCCTTAGACCGACATTCTTTCTAATGGCCAGCAGGGGGCAACTCTATGAGAAAACTACTCCATTTCTTACTTGATTTGCTACTTCAGTAAACATTTTCCCTTTGAGTTTGTAGTTTCAATCATTAGTTTCACATCTCCTTCAATACAACACCATATTAATTATGTAAAGCATGGCCCCATTTAGTGGAAAATAGACAATAAAGCAGATTATGATCCCTAAGTCGGTCTGCAAGGTGGCTTGGTGGTGAGCACCGTCGCCTCGCAGCTAGAAGATCGCCGGTTCGAGGATCTTTCTGCGTGGAGTTTGCATGTTCTCCCCGTGCAGCGTGGGTTCTCTCCGGGTTCTCCGGCTTCCTCCCACACCTTCCAGAAACATGCTGAGGTTAATTGGTAATTCTGGATTGTCCGTATGTGTGAATGTGAGTGTGCTTGGTTGTCTGTCTCTAAGTGTAGCCCTGTGATAGACTGGTTACTCTCTGGCAACTCTGGTGATGATGAATTGGTGCATAGATAATGGATGGATGGATGATCCTTAAGTCTGATCCATTCCTCACTTGTTACGTGCAGTTTTAAAAGAGTGAGACAGTGGCTGCCAAGAGCCATCCCAGTGTTTTCAAACTGGAATCCACAAGCCAGTGGATGATGGTACAGCTGCTATATTCAAATTTATTATTTACAGTCTGATCCAGTCAGTCAGATCCTGCTGGTTAAAATGGTTTACACAATGGTTTTGTGTTTATTTTTGTTTGTGCCATAGGTGTTCTTTAATCCAGTAAGTTTTGTCATTATCTGTGCTTCATTCCTGCACTTGTGTGAATGTGTTTCTTTCCCCAGTACAAGGTCCAGTTCTGGAGAAAACAGTCGGCGAAGATGTGAACTCTGTGCTCCTTCTCAGTCTGCTGAGTGGAACAGAGTACGGCGTCCAGGTGACGGCTTCCTACCCCGCAGGACAAAGTGAACCACTGCTGGGGAATGCTAAGACACGTAAGCATCCTTATTATACCTGCAAAGAACACTCACTTTGTTGTAAGAGCAGTTATTACATGGTGGATGCGATATTGGATTGCAGAGGAAATCGTATTATCCCTCATAGAAATGAAACTGTCTCCCTCACAGTTGGAGAAAAATATTGTCTATTGGCTGACTTGAAATAGAAAACGCTGCTTCGGTGTTGGTTTGCCGAGTCGAAAAGGTCAATAATAGGAGCAAGACTTACGAGCACAAGTAAACAGAAATTAAAACGCTGAGAATGAACTGATCTATTTCGGAAAATCGTACCAAATTTCAAACAGAGTCATTCCCAATTGGAACGTCATTACCTGAAGTTTTCAGTCTAAATTTGCCACAAAGGACGACGTCGGTATCAGAAGGCGGAGACAGAGGCGGCAGGAAAAGCAAAGTAGTTTAAGGAAAGTGGGAAAGGTGCAACATGCATATTAAATGGCTGCTGGTACCATGCGCTCTAATTTCCGTTGAGACTTTAGCAAATAGACAGAGACAGAAGAATATTAATATTTCCCAGTCAGCCAGCGAGAACAATCCCTTTCGCATATAGATTTGGTATCAATAGGTGCAGTAAGACCTTTAATACCTCTCTCATCTTCAACAAATATAGAGAGTGAGAGACAGAGAGAAGAAGAGGAAATGTATATTCTGTATATCTACATTTAATGAGATGCATGCTGATGTTTTTTTTCTTTTCTTTAAATCTGCTTCGGCAGGCTCTCCGTGTCGTTTCGTGTCGTCTTTTTTAGCTTTCTGACTTTATAATTGTGTCTTGGTGTGTGTGTGGTTTTCAGAAAACTGCTGCATCATCCCTTACTTTAGGACCTATTGTTGTCTTTTGGGCTTACTGTCTGATTAGCCAGAAGGGACTCGCCAAATAGTGGGATAAAAACAAATATTCTTTAATTTTAATAGCTCATGAATTTCACATTAACGTACCCTGCAAAGAGACATTTTCACCTTTTTTATTTTTTTTCTTCTGTGCAGCGTTTTCACAGAACTTTGAAAATGCTGAGAAGCAAAATGTTGATCAGTTAGTCAAATTGTTTTACACATAATCTGCAGTATAAGGCTTTTGATACACAGATTCTTTTTGTTCTTTTTTTTTTGTATTAATCTGTGCCTTGGTGAAGTGCCATCCTTCATCTGTTCTTTAATCATACCCCTGTAGGATGAGTTACAGCTCCCTCTTGCCACCACGTCTCTATAAAGCTCTCATAGTGAAGGATGGCTTCATAAGGAGAGAAAGATAAAACACGAAGCATTGACATGTAGATTTAACAACCTTCCATCTTTAAACTTAACACTCTGGCGCCCGCGTGGCACCGGATTTAGCGAGAACCGAGAACTCGTGACTTTTATGAACTTTATCTATAAGTTACTTTCGTTTTTTTTTTTCTTCTTCCACATCTGTATATATTGTGTCAGTGCTGCTCTGCTATTGTTTTCTCTGTATTGCTGGCTGGGGATTAAGAAAATGGCTCATCTCTAAATATTCAACATATTCACTATCAGATGCAATCAATTCCCAGTGCGGTGATGTATTTTCAGATGTATCAGATTTTCCCATGTTACACGGGGCCTTAGTTAAATCCATTGTCCATATTTTCACTCTAAAGATTTATTACGTGGGATGCATTCAGTCATTTGTCATTCTAATGAGGTGGATATAGTAACATATTTCCCAGGGTACACGGCATTCATTGCAGCCTTATCATGGGAACTAACTGGCATGTTTGCACCGATAAATTACTCTAACATGTTGCATAAAAATCTAATTATTCATACCTAGAGGACCACAGAATGAAATTAAACTGTTTCCTCCAAATCAAGTTTTATGTGGTTGGTGTTGTCGGTGCAGGAGCTCAGGTTTACTCTGAGTTTTCATTGGACTGCACCACAAGTTGAATTTCTACAATGCTGACAAATTAAAATAACATGCTTTTGTTTTGTTTTTTTTAAGACATGATGAGAAACCGGTAGAATCAAGAAAAGGGCGCCCATATTTTTGCATACAACTGTAGCCAAATTCAGACATTCATGTACGAAGCACTTTTCTGTGCAAGCGTGCAAATTGATTTTATGTGGAGTCAAAGTCAGCGTAACACCGTGTTTGTTTCTATGTACGGACTCACATGTGCATCAGCAACAGATGACGTGTTCGTATGTACGTCTGCTGCTGCTGTTGCATGTCTGAGAGCTTGTGTGCATATTATCGACAGGAATAATAGGTTGTCCTATGCATTATTCACTGGTGTTTAAAATAAGCCACCTGCCATATGGTCCAAGCATAAAATCCCCATTTACTGGCACAAGAGCCAAGTCTATTTTATATCATCAGCAAATTCTGTTAACAAGGGAGGAAAGAACAAGCAAGCAAGAGAGAGAGAGAACGGGTGGAAAACACAAGACAGAGCGGCTCCTGGGAGGTTCGCTTGACTATAGTCCACTGAAATCTCTCTAGCAAACAAGTTCCAGCTATTTAAATTGCTTGTGGTGTTTTGCATTTTGCTGCATCATGCTTGACTGTTTCTCCACAAGACACATCAAGCCTGACTAATTTGGTGACTTTATGATTTGTTGCTGCAACCCGTAGCTTTAACCTCACAGATGCTCGCTGCTGTCTCGAAACTTTTAAACCTCATTTCCAAGAAAAGTCCTCGCTTATTTGCCACAAGTTGGTCAGTCAGCTAGTGCTTCAGAGACACATTATAAAGTATGGTTGCTATGTATACTGATGGCTGATCACATTTCTCACAGAGTTCATGATCAGCGGCTGCTACAAATTTAGCCAGAGCATCTGTATGTGGATTTTCAGATGTCTCAGAATCTTAGTGTGACCACCAGTGGATGAGGGAGCTGGGGACAACTGGCATCAATATGAAAGAAAAAAAACAAGTTTATACAAATAATAGTAACTGTAGTTTGCAAAGTGCTCTGACAGAAAATCTACATACCCAGTAGGCAACAACAGTCGAAGTGTCCTTGGGCAAGACACTGAACCCGAAGTTGCTCCCAATGGCAGGCAGCACCTTGCATGGCAGCTCTGTCACCATTAGTGTATGAATGTGTGTGAATGGGTGAATGAGAAACACTGTAAAGCGCTTTGAGTGCCGCAAAGGTAGAAAAGTGCTCTATAAGTGCAGACCATTTACCATCTTTGTCTTATATTAAAATTAGTTTGATGATCTGAAACATTTAAGTGCGACAAATATGCAAAAATGGAACATATCTGTTGGGAGGCAAATACTTTGTCACTGTATAAGCCTCCAGTCAGACAAATTATTGTGTCACATTTAGGCAGACGACACACCGATGTACTTCCCCCTGAGACCTGGTGACCCAAGAAGCCCAACTGTTGCTTTAGATTGTCTCCTGGATGTCAGCTGTCGGATTGCACAACACTTTCTTCAACTTAACAACTTCAAATCCGAATTGTGTTGTTCAGTCCCTAAAACTGCACCTGTCTCGTTGAGAGGACTCCTGTCAAACGATGTGACGCCTGTTTGTGATTAAAGAATGTCACAAAAAAAATGTAACAGTCAGAAACCAGCGTACCGATCGGCGTGTCGGTGAACGCTGACAAACTGATGGGTTTTCATGTGTCCTCCGATAGATCCTCTAATTAAATGTAATTCCCTGAGAGATGCAGCAAAAGTAATCTGTCACAAACAGACTCGTGTTGTGGTTGAGTGCACAGTAAACATCGGCAACTGATTTTGAAAAAATAGACATTAAATCAGTCCTTCTGTCGTTTGTGTAACTCTTCGTCTCTCTTCCAGTGTTCCTCGGTGTCTCTGGCTTGTCAACCTACCAGCTGCGTCCCAACAGCATGTGTGTTCAATGGCAGCCTCTTCTTCATGCCGCTTCGTACAGAGTCTCCATACAGTCTACACTCAGTAAGTACCGCAGTCAGAGTTCATGTTAGAGTTTGCATGTGTGCTTATTTGTGCGAACGTGCTTGTGAAAGTTACAAGATGGTGAAACACTTCNACATTTCTCACAGAGTTCATGATCAGCGGCTGCTACAAATTTAGCCAGAGCATCTGTATGTGGATTTTCAGATGTCTCAGAATCTTAGTGTGACCGGTGGATGAGGGAGCTGGGGACAAGTTTATACTAATAATAGTAACTTTATTTATATAACATTCAAAAACAGGAGTTTGCAAAGTGCTTTGACAGAAAATCTACATACGCAGAAAGCAACATAGCAACAGTTATGATAAAGTGAAAACCGTAATTATGATTATAATAATATATAACATAACACAACATAACATAATTATGTTGTAGAAATATAAATATAAATATATGTTATATTGAAAAAAAAAAAAAAGTGAGCTTTTACAAGATTGAATTTCCCTTCTGGGATAAATAAAGTATTTTTCATTTCATTTCATTTCATTTCATGATGAAGTTAAATGACTACAGAAGCAACAATACAATACATATAGAACAACAGCCATTCAGCCAAAGTGTTGTCCATTAAGGAAATAACATTGGGATGATGAATTTATAGAACAAGTCTAAAAAAAAAAAAAAGATCTTCCAGTGTTATTTATAATGTAAGCTTACCAAAGTAACGTAATTGTTAAGCTCAAGAGCCTACAACGTTTTATAAAATGCAGATTTCCCTGGTTAAATGTATTGTCAAGGTAAAAACCCTACAATTCTACATACTTTGACAAATTACGTTGCTGATTTAGCTCATTAGTTAAGTTTAGGACCCCATGAATTATACACAAAACACACAGGCAGCAGTGGAGAGGTACAGCTGATTTTCCACAGGAAGAAACCTCCAGTAGAACCAGACCCAGGGAAGGCAGATATCTGCCTGGACTGGCTAGAGTGAGGCTGAAGGGGATAGCAGACAACAAGCAAGAGATCATAAACACTGGACAGGTTGGTGGGAAACAAAACTGCAGACAGTGGTGTGAAACAGTATTTTCCTGCTGTCGTCTCTTTCTGCATATTTCTCACACGTAGATATTCCAAATCATCAAACTCAAATGTATATTGATCTAACATTAGACAGAGATAACCCACAAAACACAAAATGCAGTTTTTAAATGTCTTTTGAAGATTTTTAAAACTTGTATCACCCCTGTGTAAAGGTAATTGCCCCGCTAAACCTGTCGCTACCTCTGGCAGCTGAACTTTTGTGACTAGCTGCTACTCTTTCCACACAGGGCAAGGTGGGGCTGGACAGCGTTTTTCCTTCAGTTAATGAAATCATCTTTTAAAAACTGCATTTTGTGTTTTCGTCGGTTCTTCAGTTTAGTCGGGCGGCTGTGGCTCAGGTGGTGGAGCGGGTTGTCCTCTGACCGTAAGGTTGGTGGTTCGATCCCCGCCCCCTCCACAGTCGAAGTGTCCTTGGGCAAGACACTGAACCCGAAGTTGCTCCCAATGGCAGGCAGCACCTTGCATGGCAGCTCTGTCACCATTGGTGTATGAATGTATGTGAATGGGTGAATGAGAAACACTGTAAAGCGCTTTGAGTGCCGCAAAGGTAGAAGAGTGCTCTATAAGTGCAGACCATTTACCATCTTTGTCTTATATTAAAATTAGTTTGATGATCTGAAACATTTAAGTGCGACAAATATGCAAAAAT